CCGGCAGCGAGGCCACCCTGGAGGAGTTTGCTGCGAGCTACGTGATGCAGGGCGAGAAAGTCGTGGCCGCCCAGACCGTCTCCAAGTTCAACGACCGCTTCTTCGGTCAGTGGCTGATGCTTCATGTTCCCTTCGAGAAGGCCACGGACTTCTGCCTGCCCCAGAACCTCGCGCGACGGCTCCCGGAAGCCCACAAGTACTTCGCCATGGCGGTCCTCTGCGAGCATCCTGGGGCGCAGGCCATGTGGCAGGACGACGAGAAGATCCGCGCGGAGCTGAAGATGGAGGCGCACACCAAGGACCACGTGGACACCATCCTCGCCATGATCCGCGTTCACCGCGGCTTGCTGCAGGAGTACCTGGACGGCTCCCTGGATGCCCGAAAGGAGCAGCAGGCCCAAGAGAAGCGCAGCAGTGAGAAGAAGGCCTCCAAGAAGAAAGCGGGTCCTGTGGATGCCAGCAAGTTCAACAGACAGCAACTCCGCGCCTCGTCTGCATCAGCCTCTACATGTGAAGCCAGCGTGCAAATTAAAGCTTCGCTCCTGACCTGCAGCGAGGCTTCAAAGAGCTCGTGGACACCGCCGTGGACCGCGCGTTGACCATAGAGGAAACAGAGGACGAGGGCGAGGCAGACTGTCTACGACAAGAAGCTCGAAGCAGCAAGGCCAACGTTTGCCTCGGGCCCCCCGGAACTGGCAAGACCACCGTGATCTTCTCTTGCCTCGATCGGGCCTTGGCCAAGGGCGGCAAGGTCTTGATGGCTCTGCCGACGGCCCAGCTGTCCAGTCGCATGAAGGCACGCTACGGTCACAAGGTGGACATCGACACCTGCCATGCCGCTTTCGGCCTCCATGAGGCTGCAGAGCACGGGGAAGCATCTTTGCTGAGCATGTACTCCCTCATCGTCATCGACGAGCTCTCGCAGCTGGACATGGTGAACTTCGAGAAGATCCTGAAGCTCTGGGCAGCTGCAGATCGCGTGCCGGCACTGGCGCTGCTGGGCGACCGCTACCAGATGGCCGGCATGGGAGAACGGCGGCCCTGGCATGGGCGCCTCTGGAACATCCTGTGCTATCGAGTGGCTTTGCACAAGATGTACCGGTGCAAGGACAAGGTGCACGCCAAGCTCCTGGCGGTACTCAGGACCGGGAAGCCGAGCGCCAAGCGTCTCCGACAACTGCGCAAGAAGATGGCCTGGCGGCCGCCTGGCCCACCTACCGTGAAGGGACTGCGGAAGCTCCTGAAGTCCAAGCCCCACACGACCATCCTCACGTGCACCAGGCGAGGTGCTGCTTCGGTCAACGCAGCTGCCTTGAAGGCCCTCTTTCCCAACTACGCTCCCCTTGTGACATTGCCGGCTGACGTGGACGCGAACCCCGAGAACTACGTGCAAGGCAAGCTGAAGGCGCCCGGCGAGCTGCAGCCGTCCGCCATGCCCGTCTACAAGGGCATGAAGGTTTACCTGACACGCAACGTGCGGAAAGACATCGACTTCATCAACGGGTCGGTTACTACAAGGACTTCCTGCTGGCGGGCATCTTGACGGAGCACCATTTCACGCCGGCGAAATGACGTAGTTAGCAACAGCCGTTTCACCTCGGCAGGCGCTACGTGTACAGGTAGCCCGCAGCATGTTGCGAAGGCAGCCTCAACGCTATCCCTTCGGAGTCACTGGTGCCGCGCGAGCAGTAAACGGTGCAGGAAGCGCAGAGCACGGTGTATGCTCCATGCAGCCGAGCTTCAACTTCCCACAACAAGCAGCATCGGAGGTGCCAAAACAAGCTTGCCAGTTGCCGCTACTGCTCCGTATATATCACGGGTGACTTGATGCATGTTTGTTGATGCCACCCGCAGATGCAAGTAGCATGCTCGGACGAGAGCCTCGCAGTCGTCTCTCTCGCGCAGTCTTGGCTCAAGCCTGGACTCACAGCGAAAGCAATCTGACGACATCACCTACAGTTTTACACGCCGTTGCATGACGACAACTCGCTTCACATCGGCAGGTGATATATGTACAGGTCGCCATGTCGCATGCTAAAGAGAACGACTGTGCAATTTTGGCTGCAGGCGAGATCATGTTCATGTCATGCATATGATTACATGCCTATCCTTCACAAGCGCCCTTTCACTGTGGTACTTTACCAAATACACTCTTCAAAGCTTTTCACAAATCCTTTCTGTAAACCATATAAGCCCCCCTTGCTAGGGGGGGTTGGGGGGGTAGACAACCCTAAACCCGTTCAAGGTTTGAAATTAGGGTGGGAGGGTGGGCATTGCAGCTCATGCGCCGACCCCAACCACTTCATGGAGGGGTCGACAGCGCACTCGCAGCGAAACCCTAAACCCTAAACCCTAAACCCTAAACCCTAAACCCTAAACCCTAAACCCTAAACCCTAAACCCTAAACCCTAAACCCTAAACCTTAAACCCTAAACTCAAAAGCTTAAGCCTGAATGCTCAGCTTAAGCCTTATTACGTACAGGAGCGTACTACACCTTGTTCGGGAAGGAAACGAAAGACTCTCTAGTCTGTACGAGGTAAATGGTAATTATAGACATAATTACTTCCATTTACTAGTAAGCTCATAACTGATTACAAGTCTTCCGTAAAGATATAGTTATATCAATCCCTAAACCGGTGTTTCTAACCATCGGATCCCTCGAGTGCTCGTGTGTGCCCAAGCAAGTCGGGGCCACATTCTGCAGCAAAACAGGGCCGATCTTTTCGTGCGCCTGCTCTAAACCATCTTTTCTGCGGCCGCTCTTAGCCACCTACCTCAGCCCTAAACCGGTTTTCTAAATTTAAGTCGCGCTTGTCCTTTTCGGTAAAGGACAACCAGCTCTAAAATCAAGGTTTTCTTCATTTAGTCGCGCTTGTCCTCTTCGGAAAAGGACAACCAGCTCTAAATCCTAGATTTTCTACATTTAGTCGTGCTTGTCCTTTTCGGAAAAGGACAGCCAGCTCTTAAATTCAGATTTTCTACATTTTTGCCTCCGTAAATTTGGAAAATTGCTGGTGATTTTCAAGTGATAAATTCTGTTCATAAAATGTGCCTTTTAGACTACGCCGGCTGCGAATCTCGAGGTGCCCCCCTTTCTTTTCGTGTGGCTGCTCTTAGCCGCCTTCCCAATCCCTAAACTCCGTCCCTCGGATCTCGGATCAAAAAATGGACCCTCGAGTGCTCGTGTGTGCCCAAGCAGGTCGGGGCCACATTCTGCAGCAAAACAAGGCCGTTCTTTTCGTGTGCCGGCTTTAAAATCTCGATTTTCTACATTTAGTCGCGCTTGTCCTTTTCGGAAAAGGACAACCAGCTCTAAAATCTAGATTTTCTACATTTAGTCGCGCTTGTCCTTTTCGGAAAAGGACAACCAGCTTTAAAATCTAGATTTTCTACATTTAGTCGCGCTTGTTTTCTTCGGAAAAGGAGAACCAGCTCTAAATCCTAGATTTTCTGCATTTAGTCGTGCTTGTCCTTTTCGGAAAAGGACAGCCAGCTCTTAAATTCAGATTTCTACGTTTAGTCGCGCTTGTCCTTTTCGGAAAAGGACAACCAGCTCTAAATTTTAGATTTTCCACATTCTGCTTCCAGAATTCTGGAAAATTGCTGGTGATTTTCAAGTGATAAATTCTGTTCATAAAATGTGCCTTTTAGACTACGCCGGCTGCGAATCTCGAGGTGCCCCCCTTTCTTTTCGTGTGGCTGCTCTTAGCCGTCTTCCCAATCCCTAAACTCCGTCCCTCGGAGCTCGGATCAAAAAATGGACCCTCGAGTGCTCGTGTGTGCCCAAGCCGGTCGGGGCCACATTCTGCAGCAAAACAGGGCCGTTCTTTTCGTGTGGCTGCTCTTAGCCGCCCTCCCCATCCCTAAACTCCGTCCCTCGGAGCTCGGATCAAAAAATGGACCCTCGAGTGCTCGTGTGTGCCCAAGCAGGTCGGTGCCACATTCTGCAGCAAAACAGGGCCGTTCTTTTCGTGTGGCTGCTCTTAGCCGCCTTCCCAATCCCTAAACTCCGTCCCTCGGAACTCGGATCAAAAAATGGACCCTCGAGTGCTCGTGTGTGCCCAAGCAGGTCGGGGCCGCATCCTGCAGCAAAACAGGGCCATTCTTTTCGTGTGGCTGCTCTTAGCCGCCTTCCCCATCCCTAAACTCCGTCCCTCGGAGCTCGGATCAAAAAATGGACCCTCGAGTGCTCGTGTGTGCCCAAGCAGGTCGGGGCCACATTCTGCAGCAAAACAGGGCCGTTCTTTTCGTGTGGCTGCTCTTAGCCGCCTTCCCAATCCCTAAATCCGTCCTCGGAGCTCGGGTCTAAAAATGGACCCTCGAGTGCTCGTGTGTGCCCAAGCAGGTCGGGGCCATATTCTGCAGCAAAACAGGGCCGTTCTTTTCGTGCGCCTGCTCTCAACCATCCGGTGCCTATGGGTGCCCAAAGCGGCCGAAGCCACATTCTGCAGCAAAACACTGCCTTTCTGGTCGTGTGCGTTCGTTTGGATCTTGGATTGCTCAAATTCAGGCCACGGAAACGTTAACAACATCATCCGATATGCAATTGCAAAAATATATCAACGGTACTTGGGACGTGCATTTGAAGAAGCTCTTTGCTGCTCCACGCTTATTTTCGCTTCTGCGAGCCAAGCAACCGCACCTCTGTCTGTCCCGCTGCATGTCATGTTCGCGAATGACTTCCTACATATACTCATAACATGCCTCGACTAGGAATCTGAACCGTAGAAAGGTGAACAACTTCGTGCTTTCGCGTTACTTGTCCCTGTTTCGGCTGGCAAAGCAACTGCTCTCGCAACTCTGTCTGTCCCACTACATGTCATGTTGGCCAGTGACTTCATGCATACACCCACAACATGCCTCGGCTAGATGCTTGAGCCACGAAAGCTTGGTCGCAGCTCTCTGACAATACGGAACTTCTTCCCGACGTCACTCGGCATCGCCCTCCCCACATTTTTCTCGTGCCAATGCGAGACTGCGCGGCGTTTCGCGATGAGCTTCACGCCCATGAGGGGCAGAAATGAGTCGGCTTCAACCGACCGAGGAAACACCAGTCCGTGTCCTTTCTGACGCGGCTCAGTGCCACGTACCCCGCACCCTGAATGCCCTCCTGATCCAACCACAGGGCCATGTAGTCAAGTGTGGCACCCTGCAGCTTGTGCAAGGTTGTCGCATACCCCAATCGCAAGGGGTAGAACGTCGCCCTGGCTACGCTGCCGTCAGAGAGCAACTGGGTTTCAGTCTGTGGGCACACCAAAACGATCTTGTTGGTGGCCGTTCTGACCCTGATGCCATGTCGGCCGACAGCTTCCAAATGGCAAAACATTCCATTCACATGGTCGCCTTCCTTATTTACATTGCGAGTCAACATCAGCTTCATGCCGATGTGCAACGCGATAGAAGAGCAGTCAAAATTGACATACTCTCCGCGCTGCTTGTTGTCGCAGTTTGCATCTGGGTCTGTCGGGATGATGCGTAGTGGCTCATGGTCTCCAAATTGGATTTGGACTGCCATCTGGTTGAGCTCTTCAGCAGCTCTGCGAGTGAACGTTACCATTGTAACCTCGCGCTGCCCTTCCAGAACTCCCGCCACTTCTTCGCGGGTTGGGCGATCCCCGTTGCTGACGGAGTGTCCGCGTAGTATTGCTTGCAGCTGGGCCTCCGTCGGCTGGCAGTCGCGCAGCAGAGCCAACTTGCGACGCAACTCCGGACATGTGTTGCGCTGCACCTGACGCAATTCAACCCATCTAATGTAATTGCACAAAGAACTGCTTTTGGCGTTGGTGTTATCTATAGACGGCAATTGCTTGAAATCACCCAGGAAAACGAGGCACGGTCGCTGGTCTGCTGCCAACCACAGTCGCATAATTCTCTCGAACTGTGTTCTTGTTAACTGGCCAATCTCCTCCACAACCACCAAATCATAGTCTGCGAGCAAGTCCACCGTCAAATGCTCTTCGACATGGAGTGCGAAAAAACCGTGCACTGTGTCGATGTGGGCTCCTGTAAATGACCGTCGGTAACTCGCTGCCAGCAAACCTGTTGGACACGCAATGGCCACGTTTGCCCGGTCTTGCACTTTCGTAATGACTGTTTTGACTGCAACACTTTTGCCTGTACCGGCTGCTCCGAGACAACAGATCGCGCGATCGTCGTTTTCCCGTCGCACGTGCTCATTCCACTGATCAGCTGCGACCGTTCCGCCGCATCGTCTCTCCGCGGCCTTCGTCACTCTGTCTGAAATAGCTTGCACCATATGTTGCTGTTCAACGGACAACTCGCTCTCGTTGGGTACAGCGGCCACATGCTTCTCACGGCTGCTTTCGATCGGTGGCTTATAATTTCCGGTTCTTATCTCTGCAATGGTCTCTGTTTTTGCCTTCACACTGGAGATCACGTTCTCAATGTGGTAATCTTTCCAAGCTTCTGCTTCCATTTCTTGTCGTATGGCAGGCATGGACTGCCAATACCTTGGACAGTGGTGCAGACACAAGGCCAGGCCTTGCAGGTCCTCAGGGATTTCGTCCACAGTGGGATGCCAGAGATTATCTAAGCTTCGAAAGGGTACGTTCAGCAACAACCATTGCTTGAAGAAGTTGTCGTTGCTCCGAGCATAAAGAACTGTTGCAACCATGGTGTTCCCTTGCGTCGAGCACTTGTTGGCAAACTCGTTCAGAGAACAACTCGGCTTCTCGTCTTCATATCTCCGGCGAATATCCCAGCTAATCTCACCCTTGGCATTGCTTCGACGCAAGAATTCCAACAATGGCACAGTGTCTGCTCGCCACGTGCTCTTCTCGTACAGTTCAATTTCCCGTGGTAATCGGCCGCTGCTCCACGGCACCGGCACCACGAAACGACGAATGTGGCCTGTGTGATTGCACTGGGGCAGGATGTGGCTTGCGAGCTGAAGGACCATTTCCATCTCAAGTGGATGGTACTGCCACAGGATGCTGTGCGCGATATCGCGCTTGTCGAGTTGCCCTTCTAGACTCCACAATTGCGAAAATTTGGAGATGTACCCGGTTGCATATCTCAAAATCATGCCCCGGCCGTCACTGGCCTGAACATCCATATGGCATCTTAAGCACCCGAGGACGTCGGGCATGTAAGCTCTCACCTTTGCTTCCCAAGCATCGCGCGGATGTTTCAGCTGCAGTGTCTGGGAAACGGTGTCCCAAATCGAAGCTTCTTCTCGTCGAGGCCATGCGCTGTCGTGGCGATCCAACTGGGATCCTCGTACTAGGTCGCCGAGAGGCGTACCCGCTGGGGGAAGCTCCGCTGATATGAGCCTTGGCAACCTTCCCTTGTCCGCGTCCTCTCGCAACCAAACAAGGACGTGGACGTGCACGGTACCTCGACCGTGATAGAACTGTGTTCTGAGCTTTTTGCTGCCAGGATTGTCTCTTGCCGTCTTGGAACTCCAGGCGTGCAAAATAAACAACCTTCTCGCCGAGCAGACCCTGCATTTCGTCTGTAGAATGCTGTCCCATCAGCAGCTCGCGAACGACTTCAGTCAAGAGATGCGCCAGGTGCAAGCTTTCGGCAACAGGAAGATTCGTTCTGGATCTTGCAGCCTTGCACATTTCGTCGAGCAACCACGTGTGATATGGAGCTGTCCATTCATATGGTGCTATGGTCAGAAAAAGAGTCGGAGGACCCAATTGCTTTTGCAAGTCGATTAGTGCAGCGTGTTTGGTTCGCCAGTATTCCGGCGCGAAAGACTTCCCCGCCAGAGCCGCGCGAAGGCTCAGGCCGCTTGCACGGTCCGCACTGCCAATGCCCGTGTAGAGCCAGAGATCATACACGAATTGTGTCAGTTCGAAATCGACGCCGTACCCTATGAGCGGCGACAAAACCTTGGTAATATAGGAGGCCTTGAAGCTCTGATGTTTCTGCACGCCTTCCTCATTCTCATCGCTATCGCTCTGGTCATCTGCTGTTCTCTTGAGTCGACGACTGTCTCGCGATCTGACAAAGGTTTCACACATCGCCGTCTTCCAATACAAATGCGGCCATGCCGCGCACTCGATGCCCACCGTCTCCATGAACCGCAGTGGCATGAGGTCTGTCGAAGGTGTCTCTTCCGCATCCTCCTGCTGCTGCGAAGCCATCACATACGCTTCTTGCAGCGCATTGAACTTTTTGTATGCCGACTCTTCGTTTTGGAGGAGCCACTCGCTTGCGACTTGCGCGTGCTTGCGTTCACGCTCCACCTCGAGACTGGCAATGCGTTCTGTCAGTGTAGCACTCTTCCAACGAAATCGAATCGGAGCAGTATGCACCCAATACCCGGAGGGCGAGCGTTCGCCGGGCCCGCAGGAGATGCTAAACGGCCGGAGACACTCCAGCACGACCCGAGACATGCCTCTGAGTGCCAGCGGCACGTCGCCGGGGGTTGGCGCGACATATCCTGCGCCCTTCGCACAATGGTTGCAGCGAGCATTACTGCGACGACTTCCTGCGGGGAACCGCTGCGTTCGCAGGCGCTTGCAGCCAGGGCATGTTGTCCAACTTTCCTCTTCGGCCCACTTTTGGAAGGTCTTTGCCGCCGTGCTCTGCCAATCACCATGTTGCCCCTCGTCCTCATAAAGCGTCGGAAACTTGCGACGGGCCCTCTTGGCATCGTTGTCTCTGGCTTTGGCAGCTTCTTGTACTTCTGTGTCAGACAACGCCACATGACAAATACGATCTTCCAGGCTCACAACCGACGAAAATGCCTCCAGGGTCTCCTGCACGCGCGTTCGTGCCAGGCGGTGCACCTCCGCAGCCTTTGCCTTCAAATTGTTCAAGGCTCTCGTGATAGTCGAAGGAGCGACGCGATGAACTTCTCGCAGTGCCGTGGCATCACAGAACATGCATCTGCCGGTTTTACTGTGCTTAGAAGGCCCAGCGGGTCGCCCACTGCCATCTCGATGGAAGCGACAAGCTTCTTCATGCCTGCCAGGACACAACTTAGACTGTTGAACAACTGCCTCTGTGTTGCATGCCTCCGGGCGAGTTTCCTCGCGATAGACCACCATGCCGATCGCACCCAGCGGGTGCGTATACTCGTGCGGCCGTCGCGTGCGGCACACTTGGCTTAGACGCAAACCGTAGGTTCTCTTGTAGGGTCGCGCAGTCCTGTCCCAGCGATGCTGTGGCAGAAGTCTCTTCCATTCCTCGTCTGTGAGAATCTGTTCTGCTCCGTCCATGTAAGCGCGACCAAGGATGAGCTCTTTGTGACCGAGCCAAACATGTTGTGCACGCAGAGGTTTATCTCGAATTTCCAGAGTTTTCGTTCCCGCCAAAATCCACCCGAGGTAAGGCTGTCTCAACACCAAGATTCTGTCACCGTGCTTCGGCTTTTCGTCCGTCCAACCGATGTTGCTCTCACTGCGCTGCCTCTTGGCCCGCCGCTGCTCCTCGTAGTCCTGCCACCATGCCTCTGCTTCCTCTGCGAAGTCCTTGGACGTGGCCTCTATCTCGGGGTTTGCCAGCCACGTTTGCCATGCTTCGTCTTCCTGTGCTTTTCGTTGTTGGGCTCGATACAGGGATGATGTCTTCAAGGCACTACGTCTCTCAGGGACACTCTTGTCGGGCAAGGGTTCTGCGTGCTCTTCTTGACTTCCTTCGTCCAGAAGCTGCGAATAAAACCTGGAAACTTCAGCCGATTCTGCTTCCGAGCTGCTGTCGAGGAGTGGAGGCTGAGATGTCAGAGGGTCCTGGGACACGGCCTTTGCAACCTTCGCTTTCGAGATCCTTTTGACTTTGCTCATGTCGCCACAACCCACATCTGCTGTTCTGCGGGTCGGCGTCGCGTTCCCAGACGCTCTCGAAACTAACGCCGCTGTGCTCTGGTGCTGCTCCTTTGCATGCGAATCTTCTCGAATTTCGTCTGGATTGAATACAACCGCCTCCCCTGGCTCCTCCGGGTCGAAGTCCCTTGCTTTGCGCACGCCGCTGACATTCGAGTCCATCGCGGCAGAGCCGGCTTTGTGCTTTCCTGGCTTCGGCTTCTTCTTCTCCGGCTTACTGCTCTCGGACTCCTCATGGTCTCGGAGTGACGAAGATCTTTTCTTCTTTGTTCTGGAGCTGCTCGGCTTTTCATCGGCAGGCAACCATGACTGCAACAGTTCGAAGTGACCGGAGGAATGTCCATCTGCATCCGGCTCCGTCACTCCGTGTAGTACGTGAACTGTAATAGGACCCTGCCCGAATAACATCTTCTCCTCGGAAAACAAAGAGGTCACCATCAGACTCCCCCCTAACTCCTCCGCAAAAAAGTGCAGCGCCGCCTCGCTCGGCCAGTCGCCACTCTGCAATGCTGTTGCAATGTCTGCTCTGGCTGCTCTGCGAGCTCGCACGGCCACGGCCGCGCGAAAGTTCAAGGCAGCCGTGCGAAATCTTGAGGCTTCTCTTTCGTCCACAACAAATCCGCTTCGATCCCGGTGCATTTTTGCTAGATACCTCGGGTTCTGGGCGCCCACGCAGGCGTAGCTGAGGCAGAGACCATCCGGAGGCACAGGTTGTGGAGCCCCTTCTGGGAGCAGCGGCACTCCTGCGTGTCCGCGGTTAGCAATTTCGTCTTCCGATGCGATCACACCCTCGCTGAGCGGGTCGTACGGAGCCGCCCTCGCCAAGAAATCCACTTGATCATTGCTGGCTTCACTCGCCGCTGGTTCGCGGGATAACTGGAGCGCCTGCATGAGCTCCAAGAATCTCTCTGCGGCTGTCGCTGGAAAATTCAGCAAGTCCGGTATCTCGAAAATATGGTCCCACGAGAAGCTTTGTTCGAGCAGGGCCTGCACTGCTTGGCTGATACGCTGTTCAGCCTCCGTGATGGCCTTCTTGTCTGGTTCCGCTCGCAGTTCCTCTTGGAACATACACATGAAAGCGTTGCCCAAGGGCGCCGCAGCGGGCACGATGCTCTCTGCTTCTGCTTCCGACAACTGTTTGCTTTCTGCGTTGGAGGACTTCGTCTTGCGCTGTTGTGCGCGCAATGCGGACCATGCTCGAGTCCACAGGACGATATCTAAGTGCTTTCGCCAGATATGAAGCTGATTGGCGTCAAGCACTTCCGCTGCTTGCCGTTCCATCCAGCTGACATTATCGCATCTTTCGAGTAATTGACCGAACACATTGTGCAATCGCTCGATAGCTTCATCGGCTTGCTGCGCACTCACTCTGCCCAAAGACACCTCGGGCACCAGCTGGTAGACCTCTGTCAGCGTCGCTGTCGATTTGGCCAAAAGCTCCTGGCTGTGTAAAGCTATTACTATGGAATGGACAGAAGAAACCATTGGTCGTATGCGCCTTCACGGTCGAGGCCTCTGCGATTTCCGCAGCGGCGGTGTTGCCGCAAAGCGCCTCACGCTTTAAAGTTATTATTACAACCAAGAGCGAAGCGCACGCTGAGTGTGTGACGTGCTGCAGCCTGTTTCGCTGCCGTCGACTCATTGACCATGTGTTCACACTGCCTCATTTATGTACTTTTGCAACTATTCTATTCTGACTTTCCAGGGACAGTGCCAAACGCAGCGCCCGGAATCGAGGCACGAGCCTTCGCCAGCGGTTTGCACAGTTGCCGCCGACTCCTTCACACCCGAGTTCGCGGCCGCTCGACTGCGATGTGGGCCTGAGTCTCCTGAACCGGATGCGTGCTGTATATGTGCGCTTTCATGCACTTGCTCACTGAGAAACGTGCGCTGCAGCACATAAGCCAAACTGAAAGGTTTCTCCTTGCAAACTTTACCAGCACACGCGTGCCATGTACGGAACTTCGATACTCGGGCCATTACCACGTCGAACTTGCTCGTCATATGGCCTATTTCAGCATATGCACTGGGCGCTCAATGCGACACCATCTGGGCCACCGACCCTGAATGACGTATGTGACATTGAACTTCTTGTCCTTTCGGGCTCAACCGTGCAACGACTCACAGATGAGCCAGGACTCAGCCTCGGCCGCATGCAGGACCCTGCAGCACTTCTCCATCTTCACCCCTCGGGTTTCCCGTCGAACCGAACCTGGGCAGTGCCGCATGACAAGTTCTGCTCTTGTATATGTTCCAGTCACGGATAAGAATATGGCCATGGCAGACCTGACGCGACGGGTATTGCGTTCGTCGCCTGTATCCAGCCTGGCCGGACATATTATCTCTTTTTTTGCACACACCGAACATCGGCCTCGCGGCTCTGCGTGTACATATCCTCCTTTTGTTGCGCGCCTTGTCAAAGCACAGGAAAGCTTTTAAGTTAAACTCGACAGTGCACTTGACGCTGCCACGATCAGCTAGCTAACGGGATGATTGCAAAAGTTGAGAAAAAAGGTGTCGACCACAGACCATACTGTCACATTCCGCAGCGCACCTGACGATGTCTTGGACACTGTGACCTGCACGGAATTCGCGGCAGCGAAAGTGAAGTATGTCTACTGAGCTTTGCCTCCGTTTGCTGTCCCGCGCGCATGTGTTTCACTCGCCGTGTCATAAGCGAACGTTGCAGGGCTGCGATGTCTGTATGAACCGCTGCCTGCAAGCGCTCCAACTTGAAGGAAAACATCGGCGCCGATAGGTAGGCTATCGCCTCAACCCCGCCTGGATCGGCGTCTTTCTGGGGACCTGCGTTAGGCGCCGTGTGCGATCAACTATGATCCAAGCTAGACCGGTGCCTTGAACCCGAGTCTTGCATCCATCTGGTGGTGGCGAACCTCAGTGGTGCAGTTTCTCTAGTCAGTTAAACGAGGCGCCGCCCATGCCTTCTTCGGGGCTGTGCGTCTTGGTGCAGAGGCCTGCGTCGAGGTTTTTCTAAAGATACCTGACTTAACCACGGAAATTGAACGAGCCAAGATGCCAGTCCGGGGCTAACCGGGTCCTTTCCATTATGGAACCGGGTCCTAGGACTTAGTGTGTTCTTGTCCTAGGACTTATGATGTTGATGTGACATGGAATGTAGCAAGACATGTGTTCTTGTGGCTCAATGGAAGACATGCTGGACATGTGAAAACTTGTGTTCTTGCGGCTCAATGGAAAACAAGACCTGAAAACTTGGTCTCTTCCAAATGGAGATGCATACCTGAAAAACTGTGTTCTTGTCGCTCTATATGGAAGAAGCGAGATGCTGGACATGTATAAAAAGATGTGTGCTTGTGGCTCGATAGAAAAATCAATGCCTGAAACTTGGTTTGATCGAAATGTGAAACATATAAATCGAAAAATCAAAGCCCTACTGATATAATTGCCTGTCCCAAGTTTTGTAGTTCACATGGAAATTAAAGTTGCCAAAAAAATGAAAATACGTTTATGCCGAACAAACCAAACAAATGTAACTTGGTGTTCTTGTGGCTCAACGGAAACAAAAAGCTTGAGATTTTGTGTTCTGAAACCCTAAAGTCAGCTGTTTGTACGATTCAGAACAACTTGAAAATTAGCATGTTCATGATTAAACATGAAGGGAATCTGAACTTTCGTAACGTCCAGCCCATGCCCTAAACCCTGAACCCTAAACTCTAAACCCACCCAACCCCCAAACCCGCCCACCCATTCAAGCCCAGAAGCTGCAGGTAGGAAGGGGCACACAGGTAGGTAGAGAGGTATAGTTAGGTAGGCAAGTAGGTATGGATAAGTAGATAGGCAGGAGGGAAGGTACTTGTAGGTGTAGGTGCGTCGGCAGGCTTCCAGGTCGGTAGGTAGGTAGATAGATAGCTAGGTAGGCGGGCATGTAGGTAAGGAGGCATTATGAGGAAAGAGGTTTAAAACCCCTAAACCCCTAACCCCTAAACCCTGAACCCTAAATCCAAAACCCGAAACCCTAAACTAACCTTCAACCCTAAAAGGTAGCAGGCAAAAGTAGTTGTAGGCATTCGTGCAGGCCCTGTCAGGATGTCAGGTGGCCACATCAAGGTCTTCGGAGCCCCGTACAGGGGCGTACCCGCGCCAAGGCCTGAATGGGCCGCGGGATGAACCCCGAATAGGGGTGAGCTTGGACCCCGAAGAGGGGTCGTCGGAGCCCCGTACAGGGGCGTACCCGCACCAAGGCCGAAAGGGCTGCGGGATGAACCCCGAAAAGGGGTGAGCCTGGACCCCGAACAGGGGTCGTGAGAACCCCGTGCAGGGGTGTGGATGAACCCCGAACAGGGGTGAGCTTGGACCCCGAACAGGGGTCGTTAGAGCCCCGCACAGGGGCGTACCGATGAACCCCGAAAAGGGGTGAGCCTGGACCCCGAACAGGGGTCGTGAGAACCCCATGCAGGGGTGTGGATGAACCGCGAACAGGGGTGAGGATGAACCCCGAGCAGGGGTGAGCCGGACCCTCAAAGACTGATGCAGAGAGAGAGAGAGGGAGAGAGAGAGAGACACAGCGAAAATAATTAACGAAGCAAGGAAGGAAGCAAGGAAGGAAGGAAGCAGGGAAGGAAGAAGGAATGATCAAGATGAGGGTGTGACTGTAGATGCGAGGAATGAGCAGGCAGCAAGGAGTGATGTGAGGGAGGCGGGAAGGGAAGGAAGAGAAGGAAAGTCATGCATGGCATCAGTATCCCTCTGCTCACTTTCAGTCTGTCGGCGGCCAGGCTGAGACAGTCTGCGCATCGAGATCCTCGAAGAGCCCCGGCCTAAGCCACACGGCCTTCCAAGACTTGACGGCTGCACCATGGGTTGCTTCCAAGCTCAACATGTTGAACTGCAGCAGCTTTTCAGCTCAAGATTCAACGCGATCGAACCGTTTTTGTCTGAGCGAGTGTACTCCGACTGAGGCGATTGTCCTCATGCAAACAAGGCAGTATTATTGACATGCGCATACACGCAGATCGTCAAAGACACGACTAGGAAAGAAGTGCCCCAGTTCGACGTACTGCCACGGAAGTGCAGCAATGGATCGAACGGATTTTGGCAGGCTTCATGGACCTGAAGGAAGTGACGATGACGATCGAACGACTCCTTATCATTCGGATGATAGCGATGGTTCCGCGGCCGATGCCACTACGGAAATGGAAAGAAACATGTTTACGAGAGAAGAATTCCAGCGAATCTGCACCGACCTGGTGCTGGGATGTGTCATGATGAACTTGTCAATGGGATGGCAAATGGAGCGGGCTTTTTTGAGCGATCGGCAACTACGAAGTTTGCTACAGCACTTCCAAACCAAGCACAACAGACGCGGATCCTCTGCAGGTGATATTGTGGAAGCAGGTTTACAGGAACGGATTCCAACAATGCAGAAAGTACGCATGGTTCGACAATGCGACGTACTCCAAGGAAAGTTGCGAATGGAAGTGAACCCGGTAGATGCAGAGAGATTGCGGGGCTTGGTTGAGCAGCCTCCCGGCTGGGATTGGGATTTGCCTGATCGAGGAACCATGGAAAGGCTTTGCGAGGGCATTCTGGCCAACTCGTTTGAGTTTGAACGGATTCCAGTGACGGATGCTAGACGGATGGCAGTTCAATACTGCGAGGTCATCCGTCCACTGTTCGCTGTGAGATTCCTGTCAATGGTGTTGCTGGGCATGCGGGACACGTACAGAGATCAGCTTTGGTTTCTGCTTCGCAGGCATGGAAGAGTCCTGAACGTATAGACGGACTGTACGTATACGCAGTCTCCGAAAAACTTAAAGGGACTGATGTACGGAGTACGGATACACAGTCTCACAATAAACCAGCAATGGCGAGAAAAAACGTGTCACTTGCTTAACAAATTGCTTGACGCGCCTTACTAAATTGCTGGACCTAAACCCTGAACTCGTCGACCTGAGGTCAAGCCTTCTTCATGCCAAATTCGCTGGCAAGATCGACATTGTGTTTGGAGGCTCGTCCGGCTGCTCATGTTTGCATAAACCCTAAACCCTAAACATCCGGCCGGTACCACTACAAGATTGCGCGCCCGGCACGCGTACGCCTGTGCGCCCGGAGCGCGTTCGCCTCAACTCCCGGCGCGCAGACCTGTGCACGTTGCAAACAGACTAAAGAATTGTATTATCACGTCCGGCACGCCCGGCGTGCACCCGCTGCGCGCCCGGCGCGCGCCCGCTGCACACCCGGCGCGCGCACCCTGGGTATATTTGGTTTTGGGTGGTAAACGACCGCCACATGTCATTCCTGCGCGCCCGTCGCAACCCGCTGCGCGCACATGTGTAAATTCTGTTGCAAGCATAATATTATGGAATAGTGTAAATATAGTATAGTACACGCTTACACTTCGCGCGTACGCCTGTACGTGCGGCACGCGCCCGCCCGCGCGCCCAGCGCGCGCGCCCGGCGCGCACCGTTGCAAGCAGAATATTATGGAATAGTGCAAATATACTACA